TATATATATATATATATGCACATATATATATACATAACCTACTAAACTCTATTGTATATATTCATATATATATTACATATATATATATATATATGAATATCTGTTTGTTGTTGCCTTCAGATTTGTTTTAATCGACTGTCTCCGAAGTTAGAGTCTGCAACATCATCTCGCGAAAAGGCAGCAGCAGAAGCAGAAAAAGATATTTGTTTTGTGCGTTGTTTCACGGACAATCTCCCTGTTATTTCAGAGATAAAAGACAGACTCAAGCGCCGCCTCTAATTAAATACAGCGAACAATATCATTTAAGACAACCCTAAATATAAATAATCAGACTAATTGCATGCATGCAGGCATGCTGATATATTTATACATATTAAAATAAACCGCGGAGGAAACAAAGAGAAAACACGCCTATTGTTTATTTGTTTAGTTGTTTATTTGTGCACCTGAATGTATTGATAATATATATATGTATATATCTATATATATGTACATATATATATATATATATACATCTATATGTACATGCATAGGTATATATATATATATATATGTACATATATATGTACTTATAAACGTTTGTACGGATATATATGGATATATATGTAATATATCTGCATATACATATATATAAGTATATATGTATATGTATCTATATATACACAAATGTATATAGATACAGATATGCATTATTATTGTATCTGTCTTTTGTTTCTTCGTCTTTTTCTTAATATTCAACTCATCTTCTTTTTCGTGTTTTTCTCCTGGCGTTCTCCAAACCATTTTATAATTTTTATTTTTTTATTCTTTTTGTCTTCAATCGATGATAATATATAACTGGTGTTTATTTTTATTATTATATTACTATTAAGAATTACATAGTATTATTATTAATCATTATATAGCTAGTATATATTTTTATTATATATTATTATTACTATCAAGAATTATTATTATTAATATAAGCCATATCCTTTTTATTTTGCTGACTACATCACTACTAACCTCCTCCCCTCCCTAGTTCAGGGGGCAGCAGCAGCAGCAGCAATAGCAGCAGCAGCAGCAACAGCTGCAGCAACAGAAACAGTAGCGGCAACAGCAGCAGCAGCTACAGCAGCAGCACCAGTAGCGGGGACAGTAACAGCAGCAACAGCAGCAGCTTGCACCGTACAGACAGACGCCAACAAAATGCTCCCCACTGCAGCAGCAGCAGCAGCAAAGGCTGCTGCTGCTCTACGTTGGTTAAACAATAACATGCGCCTTCCAGTGTATGTTCACCTGGAGGAGTCTCCAGGAAGTGCATGCACAATAAAAGAAAAGGGAAAAGAAACAACTGCTCTCTCCCCAACCCCAATACCACCCCATCCCTTTGCTGCTGCTGCTGCTGCTGCTGCTGCTGTTGCTGCTGTTGCCGCTGGGGCGCCGTCAAACAGCCTCCCCTCTGCGACTGCACTGTCTGCAACCCTGCTTCTGCAGCTGCTGCTGCTAGCAGCAGCAGCTGTTGGTGGAGGTACTACTTGTAGTTCGACTTGAATATTATTAACATCATAAATACCTGGTAAAGGAAACAAAGCACAGAACTCCGCAGTTTTGCTGCTGCCAGGCAGCAGCAACCCCAGCTCTTGCTGCACCTTCCCCAGCCAAATGCAGCAACCCCCAGGGACAGCAGCAGCAGCACCAGCCACAGCTTCCTCTCCTGCTGCTGCTCCTGCTGCTCCTGTAAGCCCCTCTGCATGCATCAGCGAAGAGTTCGTACTCCACGGCTCCGCAGCAGCTCCACGCCAACCCGGGGATGCTGCCGATCCATCTGCTGCTGCTGCTGCTGCTGCTGGCATTGCTGCTGCTGTGTGTTGAGGAGAGAGGGTGCTGTGCTGCGCCAGCACTGGATCCAGCTCGACTCCGCCTGCTGCTAGCTGCTGCTGCTGCTGCAGCTGTTGCAGCTTCTGCGGTTCGTTGTCATGGTTTCCAACGGTTTGTGGAGAAGCGAGCAGGGGACTCCCATCCATTGCTGCTGCTGCTGCTGCTGCTGCTGCTGCTGTGTTGCTGCTGTCGCTTGGCAGCCTTTTAAGATCTTCTCTCTCTCTATATTTTTCGTCTTCTTCTTCTCTATTTCCTCGCTCTCCTCTTTCTAACAGCTCTCTGCTGCTGCCCAGACGCACCTGAATGAGTCGCTGCTTCAGGCGAGCCCCCATTCCATCATTGAAGCAGACATCCTCTAGCAATATCTGCTGCTGCTGCTGCTGCTGCAGCAGCTGCTGCTGCTGCAGTTCAAGGGGCGTAACAACCTTGGGAGTGCACAGCGGTGGGAGGAAAACAACAGCAGCAGTTTGCGGTGAGTATTGATTGGTGTGTTGGTATTGCATTTGCTGCTGCTGCTGCTGTTCCTCCTCTTCTGCTGCTGTTGCTGCTGCTGCTGTTGCTGCTGCTGCTGCTGCTGGAGTCTTGGCAATAAGCCGCAAGCTAAAACAAACACAAGGCGATATATTACGAACAGTAAAATATACTTTATAAATGCAGTGGGCCCTCCACTCAACAATATGCGAACTACAACCAGCAGCTGCAGCAGCAGCTGCTGCTCCTGCTGCTGCTCCTGCAGCGGGAGAAGCAGCAGCAGCAGCAGCAGCAGGAACGACAGCGGAGACCGAAAGCTCAAGAGGAATCCCTTCTGGGAGTACTGCGAGAGATATCTGCAGCAAACAAACAAAAACAAAAAAACAAACAAATTATAATAAATAAAACAGTGCGGTGCATAAACAAACAAATAATAAATAAATAAATAAATAAAAATAAACAAATAAACAAAAAAACAAATACAGACACGTAAACAAATAAATAAACAGATAAACACATAAATAAACAAATAAACAAATAGACAAAGAAACAAACAAATAAACATGTAAATAAACAAATAGAACAAATAAACAAACAAATAAAACAAACAGAGAAAACTGCTTACGGGTTTCTTTGCAAGGATTGTCCCCGTCCGCATGCAGCCCCAATCTTCTTTTTCTTTTTCTTCTTGAATGCTTGCTGCTATTTGCTTTTGTGCATTTGTTTGTCTCTCCATCTCAATCTCGTGCACAGCCACCGTCTCCGCAGAAGCAGCAGCAGCAGCAGCAGCAGCAGCAGCAGCAAAAGACTGGCCGTTGCTGCTGCTGCTGCCCAACGCCCAGCGTAACGCCACTTGCATTCCAGTGCTGAACACAACAAACCCTAAACACTAAACCCTAAACCCTAGATCCTAAACCCTAAAACGTCGTCTATGGGTATGCACATCACAAGGGCAGCAACGCCGGCTGCAATAGTCTGCACAGCAGCAAAAGTAGAGGTTTCACTACCACCACGAACAGCTGCCGCAGCAACAGCAGCAGCAGCAGCAGCAGCAACAGCAGCAGCAGCAATAGCAGCAGCAGCAACAGCAGCAAGTACCCGTTTGTTTGGAGGAGTTGTTGCAGTTGCTGCGGGTCTTGAGGCGAGAAAAGCAGCAGCACTTCTTCTCCTGGCCCCAGCGTTCTCTGCGTTCGTTCTGGGGTGTATATGCAGTTTGAGGTGTATGCGCAGCTTGCGGTGTATGTACAGCTGTGGGGTGCTGCTGCAGCCAACTCGCGATAAGGCAGCAGCTGCAGCAACCAAGGAGGTAAAGGTTTTTCTTTTGTTGTTAGTGCCCTGCTGATAAGGCCTACATGCAGCAGCTCGCAGTCTTTTAAGGTCTTGCTGCTTGCAGCAGCAGCAGCAGCAGCTCCTGCTGCTGCTGCTTTCTTCTCCCCCTGCTGCTCTCTGCTCCGCCGCCTTTCCCCAACGTCCTCCTCCTGCAGCAACAGCAGTTGCTGCTGTTGCTCCTGCTGCTGCTGCTGCAGGGCTTGCAAGCTAACTGCTGCTAAGCCACACAGCACCATCGGCTGCTGCGAGGTGTTGCGTACAGAACAAATAAATAAAATTTTCTCGCGACTTTGAAAAGATAAACGCTGCAAACAAAAACATAAATCCATCAATGCATGCATGCATGCAGCAACTGCGCGTTGCAGCAGCAGCAGCAGCGGCAGCAACAGCTTCTGCTGCTGACACATTAGAAAAAACCAGCACAAACAGCACACAAACAGCAGCAGCTGCTGCAGCGCAAACAGCAGCAGCAGCACCTTCAGGAGAGGCAGCAAACACATCAGAAGCGGAAGCAGCATCCAGAGAGGCACTAGCTGCATCAGCAGCAACAGCAGCAGCACCAGCACAAACAGCAGCAGCAGCAACAGCAGCAGCGCAAAGACCTCCAGAAGCAAGTGCACAGCAGGAACTACAGCAGCAGCTGCTGCAGCAGCAGCAAATGCCTCACCGGCTGTACATTCAGCTCCAGAGAGGGAGCCACCGTAAGCACTGCCTCCACGGCTCGCCACACGGGAGGAGGCAGGGGCCCCAACCCCTGCTGCTGCTGCTGCTGCTGCTGCTGTTGCTGTTGCTGCAGCAGCAGCTGCTGCTGCTGCTGAGGCTGTCCCCTTAGACAGAAACGAACGCGGTGTATCCCTGGGCGAGCTCCTCGCACGAAGAGACGCAGACAAACAAACATTCCTGGAGGCACTACACTGCAGCAGCTACTTGAAATGCTGCTGCTTCTGCTGCTGCTGCTGTTGCTGTTGCTGCTGCAGCTGTGGGGTCCTTCAGGCTCCGCATCTGGTGTCTGTGGCAGCAAACGGAAGACCCTCACTGAAGCTAAACTTTCACCATCTCCTCCTACGCTCTTGCGGTAGCTGCTGCTGCTGCTGCTGCTGCTGCTGCTGTTTGCGTCTTCTGAAATAACTCGCAAGGGGACACCCCCAACTCGAAGGCCGCCCCCAGCCTCTTCATCCTTGTTCTGCAGCCACTGTTGCTGCTGCATTTGCTGCTGCTGCTGCTGCTGCTGCATGTGCTGCTGCTGCTGCAGCAGCATTGCTGCTTCCTTAGCTGTGAGAAGGGAAGCTGCTGTGATAGCCACCAGATCCTTCGGGCAGGCAGCAACAGACAAATCAACAAGAGAAGTGCTGCTGCTGAGGTGCTGCAGCAGCAGGAAACACTCCCGCTGCTCTCCGCAGTAAAGCCAGCTGCTGTTCGCTCCCGCTGCTGCTGCTGATGCTGCTGCTGCTCCTGCTCCTCCTGATTGTGCTGCTGCTGCTGCTGCTGCAGGGCCTGCTGCTGGCGTTCCTGTTGATAGGGGTGTTGCTGTTGCTGCAGCAGCAGCAGCAGGAGCAGCAACAAACCCTCCAGAAGCAGAAACTTCTTCAGATGGTGGAGGGGACAGACCCTCCCCCGTTGCCGGCCTGAAAAGCACCCAAACCCTAAACCCTAAACCCTAAACCCTAAACCCTAAACCCTAAACCCTAAGCGAGACAACAACAAAACAATAAAATAAAACATAACAGTAAAGGCCTCACAGCGTCAGGCAGGTGCTGCCTGTTCCTCTCTCGGGCGAAACTTCTTCTTCCCCTTCTTGCTGCTGCTGCTGCAGGTGTTGCTGCAGCAGCTGCTGCTGCAGCTGCAGTTGCTGCTGCTGCTGCTGCTGGGGTCCTGGCCAGTTAAGAAGGGAAGCAACAAGGAAGGAAACATCAGCAGCAACACTCAGCTCCAAACGAAGGTCTTTCTTATGTGTTGCTGCACTTCTTTGTCGGTGCTCCCAGCGGTATATCTACAACAAGCAGCAGCAGCAGCAGCAAACAAAGCAGCAAAAAGCAAACAAATATATATATATATAGATAATGTGATGCAGCAATGCGTCGGATGCATGCAGCATGCAGCAGCAGCAATAAAGGAGCCCCAAACAGGAAATAAACGCCAGACAAACAAACATATAAACAAATAAAACAATCAAACAATAAATGCAAAGTACAAGACACAGCATTCAGAGCGGCAAAACAACAAGCCGCAGCAGTAGCAGCAGCAGCACGAGCAGCAGCAGCAATAGGACAAGCAGCAGCAACACAAGCAGCAGCAGGACGACAAGCATGAGCACAAGCAGCGAAAGAACAAGCGGTAGCAGCACAGTCAGCAGCAACACAAGCAGCAGCAGCAGCAGCAGTAGCAGCAGGAGAATATATTACCTGCATAGGGGTGCCTATGTGTATTAGCCTGAAGCTCTCAGCATCAAGGCTATAGAACAGCGGCATGCCCCTCAGCAGCACCGATAGCTCTCTCCTTGTCTCTATCTCTGCTTCTCGGTCTATTTCTGCATCTGTTGTGCTGTTTGTATACATAGAAGTGCTTGAATTGGGTGCTGCTGCTGCTGTTGCTGCTGCTGTTGTTGGTGCTGCAGCAAGGGGCTGCCTCGAGAGGGCCTCCCGCACTCGTGCGAGCCTTTGCTGCAGCGTGCAGGAGCTGTCTCCTTGCTGCAGCAAACCGCTGTCTCCTTGCTGCAGCAAACCATTGTCTCCTTCATCTATATCCAGCAATAATAAATGCCGCGTATCGAACCCGTGCGACAAACACCGATCGCCGTGAAGAAAAAAATACTGACGAGCCCTCACCAACCCAAACAACTCACACTCCACACCTGCAAGCAGCAGCAGCAGCAGCAGCAACAGCAACAGCAGCAGTAACAGCAGCAACAGCAGTAGCAGCAGTAGCAGTAACAGCAGCAACAGCAGTAGCAGCAACAGCAGTAACAGCAACAGCAGTAACAGCAGCAGGAATCGAATTAAAGGTGCAGCAAACAAGTACGGGAGTAATAACAAGAATTAACAACAAACAAAACAAACAAACAAAACAAAACAAACAAAACAAACAAACAAAACAAACAAAACAAACAAAACAAAAAGAAGAAGCGAACACAAAATAAAAAACAAATAAAATAAAAGTCAAACAAAACGAACATCATAAAAGTGCAGACAATGAAGAGCAGCAACCAAGTGCCCCTATCGCTGTCTGCCGTCCTGCTGCTGCTGCTGCTGCTGCTGTTGCTGCTGCTGCTGCTATTCCTACCTTCTATACATAGAATGCCTGGCTTTAGGGGCGTTGCTGTCAGCTGCATGATGGCGCTGCCTCCAGGTTTGAGGTGTACGTTCACCTGGGAGACGAGAACCCCCATCTCGGGCCCTTCCTGTCTCCCTGCAGCAGCAGCAGCAGCAGCAGCAGCAGCAGCAGGAGCTTCTCCTGGCAGAGGCAGCAGCCTTGCTAGGAGTCGAAGACAGCTCAGATGCAGCTGCAGAGACAGCGGATTCAATATACAGAACTCCACCGTCACAGGCAGCCCTGCTGCTGTTTGTCTCCTGTATGCCTCAGCAACAGGAAGAGACAGCAAAGGAGGCCGCTGCAGCAAAGCAAATGCAGCACAAAAAAGCAAGAGCCTTATTATTATTATTATTATTATTATTATTATTATTAATCATTATATATATCCACCATCAGGAACAGCAAAAACAGAAACAGCCAGCAGCAGCAACAACAGCAGCAGCAGCAGCAACTGTCAGCAGCAACAAGAGCAGCAGCAGCAACAGGAGTAGCAGCAGGTGGAGCACGAGCAGCAGCAGAAGAGCGTAGCCAGTAGGGTCTGATTTGCTGCTGCTGCTGACATGCGTATTGTCTGCCTGGTTGTCTCCTGCTGTCTCTGCAGCAAACAAATGCTTCCTCGCCTCCAAATAGAGACGCCCCAAGAACTGCTGCTGCACCTGCAGCTCCTGCACACCCTCAGGAGACACTCCGCGGCAGCAAGCCTCTCCCATCTGAACAAACGAAGGAAGAGGCTCTTCTCCTGCTGCTCCTGCTGCTGCTGCTGCTGCAGCTGCAGCAGCAGCAGACTTGTCTGATAGGAATGAGGCCTCTTGCTGCTCTGTCTCCGCTGTTTGCTGCATCAGCGCATCCCCTAATAAATACACCCCAACGCTGCACACACACCACTCACAAAACAACTTTGCTGCTGCTGTTGTTGCCGCTGCGGTTGCTGCTGCTGTTGCTGCAGTTGCTGCACTGTAGGTTTGCTGCTGCTGCTGCTTCTGCCGCTGCTGCGTATATTGGGCTTTGCTTGCTGCAGCAGCGCGATATGAGTTGGTGCTGCTGCTGCTGCAGCTGTGCTGCCTATACACCGCAGAGTTGACGCTCCTGCTTGCTGCTGCTTGCTGCTGCTCTCACCTGCCGCTGAAGAGCCCAAGCGAGTCGCGCTGCTGCAGCAGCGGCAGCCGCAGTTCAGGCTGGAGGGCGACGCACAACGAAGGCGCTGCTGCCCCCACTTGCTGCTGTTGCTGCTGCTGCTGCTGCTGCTGCTGCTGCAGGGGGGGTTCAACTTTTGCTGCTAGGCGCTGTCGCTCCAGCAGCACGCGGCAGAGGAAGAGAAGCTCCTTCATGTAGTGCTGCTGCCGATCAGCAGCAATGACAGACAGACCTGCAGCAAGCAACAGACACCCCACACGCAATGCGCACCTGCTGCTGCAGCTGCTGCTGCTGTAGTTGCTGCTGCTGTAGTTGCTGCTGTAGCTGCTGCTGCAGGTGCTGCTGCAAGTGCTGCTGTATGTGCTGCTGCACCCTCATAAGGGACAGCAGCAGGCATCACTAACGAAGCAAGAGCAACAAACAAACAATGAAATAGCTCCCCCTTAATGCTGCAGCAGCGAATTCAGCAGCAACAGCAGCAAAACAGAAGCCAAGCCAGCAGCAGCCAAAACAGCAGCAGAACAACTTGCAGGAGCAGCAGCACAAGCATCGTCATCATTAGCATTAGCAGCACAACAGCAACAGCAGCAGCAGCAACAGCAGCAACAGCAGGAGCTTTACCTGTTGGTGTGTCTCCTGCAAGGAGTTTACATTCTTCTAGAGCAGCAATATCATTGAATAGAGCAGCAAAGTGCAGCAAAGCTTCTTCTAATAGTCTTAAGCTGCAGCTCTGTCTCGCTATAATAAAGCGCAAGTGCAGCAAAACAAATAGCCAGGACGCCTCTTCATATTCGTTTAACACCTCGAGGTAGCAACGCAGTGCAAACCGCTTATACCCTGCATGCAAGACATATCAACATAATATCATATTATTTTATATCTTATTTATATTATATTATATTATTATTTATGTTATATTATACTATTTTGTACTATAATATAATATAATATATTATATTGTAATATTATTTATATTATATTATGCTATTTTGTATCATATAATGTTTATAGTGGTATTACATAAAAAAAGGCGAACAATATAATTTATATTGAAGCAACATAATATAAATTAATATAAAATTAAATAAAATTAACATAGTAAACGCAGATACGCAAAGACGACTGCTGCTCATCCTTAGGGTGCTGCTGTCAATGATGATGCTCCTGCTGTTGCTGATGCTGCTGCTGCTGCTGCTGATGCTGCTGCTGCTGCTGCTGATGCTGCAGCTTCTGCAGCAGCATCGTGCACTACGCGTTGGCAGGGAATCTAACCCTAAACCCTAAACCCTAAACCCTAAATGACTTGTGCAGCGAGTTAGTAGCCAAGCTAGAGAAGCAGCAGCACCACCAGCAACAGCAGCACAACACAACAGCAGCACCAGCAGAAGCACTCGCAGCACCAGCAGTGGCAGCGCTCCCAGCAGCAAAAGCAAAGAAAAAAGCAGCAGCAGCGAGAGGAACCGCAGCAGCAGCATCAAGAAGAGTCATCATCAGCAGCAAGAATAATGAGGAGCAGCAACTACAAGCAGAATCAGCAGAATCAGCAGCAGCAGCAGCAGCATCAAGAGGCCTCGCAGCAGCAGCAGCAGGAGTAGCAGCAGCAGCAGCAGCAGCAGCAGGGTTGAAGGACCTGCTTTATAGTAGGTGTGCCCGGCCATGACTAAGTGAAAGCTTCGTTTTCTTTGATGCGAGCTGCCCCCTCTTTCTAAACAAACTGCTGCCTGCTCCAGCAGCATTGCGCTGCGTATCGCTTGGCTTTGAGCCTGAATAGCAGATACACCCTGCTGCTGCTGCTGCTGCTGCTGTTGCTGTTGCTGTTGCTGCTGTTGCTGGTGCGGCTGCTGGTCCTGCTGCTGCTGCTGGTCCTGTTGATCAAGATGCTGCTGCTGATACTGCTGCTGCTGCTGCTGTTGCTGCTGCTGCCAAGCTGCTGCATCTAGAGAAGGAAGATCAGAGTTAGCAGCAAGCAATCGGCATGCTACCTCTGCACAGGCATCAGATGGGCGGCCCCCACCACCAATTATAAGGGGGAGGTGCAGCATATGAGGCAGCTGCAGGAAGCTAGCAGCGCCGCTGCTGCTGCTGCTGCTGCTGCTGCTCAGGCTGCTGCTGCCGCCGCTGCCACCACCCGTCCCGCTGCTGCCCCCAAACAAGCCGCTGCCGCTGCTGCTGCTGCTGCTGCACTCCTCCATCAGCAACCGGTGCCCCAGTAACACGCAGCGAAGTGCTAAGCGACCCGCACCCGCCTGCAGCAGCAGCAGCGAAAGCAGAAGCAGCGAAAGCAGCAGCAGCAGGAGACAGAGCTAACCACTCAGCTCCTTATATCCGATGTGCACAGCAGCAACAGCCCTCCCAGAAGCAGCATCAGCAGCAGCACTCCTAGAAGCAGCACTCGCAGCAGCATCAGCAGCAGCATCAGCAGCAGCACTCGCACCAGCATCAGCAGCAGCGACAGCAAAAGCGGCAGCATGAGCATCAGCAGCAGCACTCCCCGCTACAGCAGCAGCAGCAGCAGCAGCAGCAGCAGCAGCAGCAGCAGCAGACGCTGACCTTGAGATAAGCAGCATAAGCCTGGTCTAGGTAAGACTCTACTTCTCTCCGCTGACCCCCCATTGCATGCAGCGACGCCGCACACATCTCGTACGCACCCCCTGAATAATAAATAATAAATAAAAATAATTATTTATAATTAATCAATTAGATTAAAATAAATTAAATTAAATTAATTAAATGAACAAATTGAATAAAACAACTAATATAAATAGATTAATCAAATAAACAATTCAGAAGCAAAGTAAACAAATTAGACAAACATAAATAAAATAAATAAATAAATAAATAAAATGTATAGATAAACAAATATATATATATATATGTATATAAACAAATGTCTAAGGAAAACGAACAAACAAACAAAATAAACAAACAAAATAAGCAAACACACAGCAGCAGCAACAGTACCAGCAGCACCAACAGCAGCATCAACAGCAGCCATATACAGCAGCAGCACAAGCAGCACTAGCAGCAGCAACAGCAGCAGCAGCAGCAACAGCAGCAGCAGCAGAGACGAACCTAAGTACGTCCACCTCTTGTCTTGTTTAAAATCTGCAGCACAACTCCTATAACTCTGAAGCGCTGCCTCAGGCTGCCCGAAGATTAAACTGAGATCCCCCAGTAAACGATACTGCCACTCAATTGCATGCAGCTGCACGCACAAACCCTAAACCCTAAACCCTAAACCCTAAACCCTAAAACCGTATATCCATAAGTTGAGTCTAAAGATGACCCCACTCAAGGGAACTGCCTACAGCCCGAGATGAAGAGGAAAGCAACCCTTAACTCTAAACCCTAAACCCTAAACCCTAAACCCTAAACCCTAAATCCTAGACAGAGTGCGCTGACAACGTATGCAGGGGAGTGCCCCGAAGGAGACGGAGGCTGTCCGTCGCTGCTTCTCTTCCCTTCTACGTCGCTGGGGCCTCCATTGGTGCTGCTGCTGCTGCTGCTGCTGGAGTCTCCTACGGCGCAGCAGCAGCAAAGACACAATATTAACAGCCTTACAAACCGAACAAAAACCCTCAAAACGTAGACCCTAAACCCTAAACCCTAAACCCTAAACACTCACCTAATAAAGCGCCACCAACAGCTGAGAGGAGTGCTTCTGCTGCTCCTCCTGCTTCTTCTGCAGCAGCAGCAAGGCCAGCGACTGCATCAGCAGCAGCAATGGGTGTATGTGCAGCAGCCGCAGCAGCAGCAGCAGCAGCGGCAGCAGCTTTTGGCTTCCTCCAAAGGTATCGAAGCTGATTCCTAAAGCCCCTTCTGTTGCTGCTGATGCTGCTGTCGAGCTGCCGCATGCGCTGCTCAGCCCAGGGTAAAACAGCAGCAGCAACAAAATGCTTAATAAAAGAAGACAGCCACAGCAACTCCCCCCAGCCTAAACCAACACAAAAGCTGCATCTCAAGCAGCTAACGGCGAAGCAGCAGCAGTTGCGCTGCTGCAAACCTTCAGTGCAATCGATATACTGCCCCTGCTGCAGCTGCTGCTGCTGCAGCAGCAACTGCTGCTGCTGCTGCTGCTGCTGCTGCTGCTGCTGCTGCTGGTGCTGCAGCTGCTGCAACTGCTGCTGCTGCTGCTGCTGCTGCTGCTGCTGCAGCGGGGGGTGAGTGTGAGGAGGGCAAGGCTGAGCAAGAAGTGTTGGAGTTAAATGCCCAGAGAGAGACTCCGAGAAAGACAAAGAAAGAGAAGAATAATACAAAAAACGAATGGCCGGCAGCAGCTGCGCATACACAACACAGCAGCAGATACACTGCAACAGCAGCAACAGCAGCAACAGCAGCAGCAACAGCAACAGAAACACCAGCAACGCTGCTGCAGCAGCAGCAGCAACAGAAGCACCAGCTTAACCACACCGCAACACGGCAGCAGGGAGCTTGAGGGCCCCCCTACTTGAACATCCCTAAACCCTAAACCCTAAACCCTAAACCCTAAACCCTAAACCCTCATTACACGGCCGCGCACGCCTTCCGGGCGACAGACAGCAGAAACCCAGGAGAAAGCAAAAATATATCTGCTGCTGCTCTTCCTGCTACTACTCAATCTGCTGCTGCTCTAGCTGTTGCTGCTGCCCTAGCTCCTGCCGCTGCTTTACCTTTAGCTGCTCTATCTGCTGCAGCTCTACCTGCTTTTGCTGCTCTACCTACTGCTGGTTCAGCTGCTCTATCTGCTGCTGCTCTATCTGCTGCTGCTCTATCTGCTGCTGCTGCTGCTGCTGCTGCTGGAGTTACCTGTAGATGGCGTCTGTCTGTACAGCCGCGGCCGAGGGTAAGGAGATGACAGTTAGCTGGAGGGAAGACGCTGCAAATCTTCTTCATTATATCTGCTGTTCTTGCTGCTCTCTCTTCGGGGGACCCCCAAGCCTCTTCCTTCTGAGCGTGTGATGCAGCAGCAGCAGCAGCAGCAGCAGCAGCAACAGGACTAGCTGCTGCTGCAGACGCCCCTCCTGGTGCTGCCTCCCCTGCAGCAGCAAACACCTGCTGCTGCTGCTGCTGCTGCTGCTGCTGCTGCGGGGGGTCCAGTGTCTGCGTGTGCTGCATAGGGCCCCCAGGGGGCCCCCCAGCAGCAATTCGTGCAGCATATGCTTCGGGGTGTACATCAAGAAGAATAACAGCGCGTACAGGGTTAGGGTCTAGGACATATTGTCTGCAAAGAAGAGGAGTATGCTTAGGCTGCAGCAAATAATCTAAAGCAGCAACAGGATCTTCTTCTGCTGCACTGACGAAATAGATAAACCCTACTGGCTGAGATAATGCTTCATGCTCGTTGAAACGCAAACCCTCAAAAACAACTCGTCGCCATTCTGCAAACCAAGGTAACTCCCCTCCTGCTGCTGCTGCTGCTGCTGCTGCTGCTGGTGCTGGTGCTGCTGCTGCTGCTGCTGCTGCGGGTGAAGGTGCACGTGGTGATGATGCACGTGCAGCAGCGCTGTCTGCAGCAGCAGCAGCAGCAGATGCTGCTGAATGAAAAGGGGGCCTCCTCTGCTGAGGGCCTTTGAATATGCTTGCATGCATCTTTTCTTTAAGTGCTGCAGCACGAGGGGGAGACAGCAGCAGCGAGCTGCAAGAGAGTGCTTCAACTGCAGCAGCAGGAACTGGCTCTGCTTCTTCTAAGTTAAGAAACCTGACGCAGAAGGGACGCGACTCACGCCTAACTCCGCTGCTGCTGCTGCTGCTGCTCTTGCTGCTGCTGCTTCCACCAGCAGCAGCACCCGAAGCGCATGCAAGCCGCAGCTGCAGCGACACAGGAGGCACCCTAACTCCTTCAACTGGAGACCCGCTGAGCTGTCCTAGCATCTCTGCAGAAACTTCAGCTTCTGCTTCTACTCCCTGCAGCAAGGAGGCCCCTTGTGGGGCCCCCAGAGGTGCCCCATGAGGCCCTCCCCCTTGCTGCTGCTGCCCTGGTGCTGCTGCTGCTGCTGCTGCTGCTGCCTTTGCTTGAATCCGCTGCAGCGCATCCCCGCCGAAGGGCTGGAAGAGAGCAGCAAGAGAGAGACCTGTTAATAGCGCAACCTCTCTCTTTGCTGTCTCAGACCCCCCTACAAGGATATAAGGGGCAAAGGTATTAGACAGCCACATAGTTTTGCTGCTTTTGTCTGTCTCCTGCTGCATTGCTCCGTCCAGGCAGAAGCTGCTGCTGAAGGGGGCCCCCCAGAAGAAATCATAGGGGAGAACGATGAAGAATAAGCAGCGTAAGACAGAGATACACCCCTCTACTTACTCAAACAGCAGCAGCAAGCAAACTACACATATACATATAAACTGTATATATATATAATAACAACTCTAACGGGGGGGCCTCCTTAAAGCGCAGACCTCCAACAGATACCCATGAAACAAGAAACTAATGCTTCATTCGCAGGCATTTAAACCAACAGAAAAGACCGCTAGAGCCGCATATACACAAACCCTAAACCCTAAACCCTAAACCCTTAAACAACCCCAGCACACAGCGGGCCGGCGGCGCCCCTAAAGACAAACCAGGGTAGAAGGGAAGGAGGGAGAAGAAAGGAAAGTTTAGAATGAATTAATTAACTCAAATTTATTCTTTTTTTAAAGAAAACAATCGCTTAAACAGAAACATACACTATATACTCAGACGCATGCCTTCAGCCAGGCGCGAGCAGCGGGGGCCCTTCAGAGCTTTGTTTGTTTGTTTTTGTTTGTTTTTTCATTAAAAATAAAATAATAATTGTTCATTTATAACTCTTTTAACAATTATAATGCTAAGAAGAAACGCCTGTGCTGCAGCACTCGAACGGGGGGGCCTCCTTAAAGCGCAGACCTCCAACAGATACCCATGAAACAAGAAACTAATGCTTCATTCGCAGGCATTTAAACCAACAGAAAAGACCGCTAGAGCCGCATATACACAAACCCTAAACCCTAAACCCTAAACCCTTAAACAACCCCAGCACACAGCGGGCCGGCGGCGCCCCTAAAGACAAACCAGGGTAGAAGGGAAGGAGGGAGAAGAAAGGAAAGTTTAGAATGAATTAATTAACTCAAATTTATTCTTTTTTTAAAGAAAACAATCGCTTAAACAGAAACATACACTATATACTCAGACGCATGCCTTCAGCCAGGCGCGAGCAGCGGGGGCCCTTCAGAGCTTTGTTTGTTTGTTTTTGTTTGTTTTTTCATTAAAAATAAAATAATAATTGTTCATTTATAACTCTTTTAACAATTATAATGCTAAGAAGAAACGCCTGTGCTGCAGCACTCGTACTAACGAACACAGTCGGCTGCCCTCAGCAAGCCGTGCAGTTCAAACTCTTAGAATCTGCATTTGTCTTGTATTTTTTTAAGTAAATTTAAATATTTATATACACAAACAAACCTTTTTTATTGTTTTTAGGGGTTTATATATACCCTCAGCACCGTATTTACAGCTGTGTGTGTGTGTGTGTTTGCTGCTATACACACTGCTTAACTATATACTTATGAATTTTATTATACCTAGAGATTTAATTGAAGAGGTTTGTTCAAGGTGGATTGGGGTGTATGCACAGCTCTTTTAAGGTTCTCCCTTTTATTGTTTCGTCTTCTCTCTCTCTCTTTCTCTCTCTCTCTCTCTCTTTAGCTGTATCTGCTCGTCAGATGGTTTGCTTGTTTCTGCCTGATGTTAAGAGCACACGAAGAAGACAACAAACATAATAGAGGCGTCGGAGCTCTTCCGAGAAAGATATATTTTTCTTTTTTTTCCTCACCTCGATGGCCCCTCTTTCTCGTGCAGATATATCTGTGCATATTCAACTTGTTGTTATTTCAGCACTTTAAATAAACATTAACCCCTTTCTACAGCCGATAGACCAACAACTTAGATAAGAACAGCAACAATGAAGCTGTACAATCAGATTTTTCTCTTTGATCTCCCCC